ACACACACACGCACACACGACACACACACACACACACACACACGCACGCACACACACACGCACACATACACACACACACACACTCACGCACGCACGCACAAAAGCACAAGCCAACACACACGCACGCACAAAAGCACAAGCCATATCCACTCATACGCGCTCACCATGCAAACACGTCGCCGGCTTGCATCTTCTGCAGCGTTCCAGTTGTGCAGAACTCCCTGTTGAATGAAATGCGACAAATGCACGTGTCAGTGGCGAGAAAGGTTACATACCCAAGCACAAAGGATCCTACAGGCAAACACACGCAAGCATGCACGCGCTCACAAACATGCACGCAAAAGTACGCACACGCACGCACCTGATGGCCCAGCGACGCCAGCCGGCAAAGGTGTTGCTGTCCTGAAGGTTGACGAAGATGTGTTCGCGAAGCTCAACGTCATTCATAGCCTCAACCTGCTGTAGCGTTGGCGTGAGCGGGCCATGGTTGTCACCACCGTTTTCGGCGCCGCTCTCCTGCTGCGCCATCAGCCTCTGCTGTTTCAGCTGCTGTCGCGCCTTCTCCAGAAGCGCATCGGACTGGCCGCCGGAGGTCTTTCGCCTGCGCCACCCAAGCCCAGGTGATGACGACGGTGATGCGCTGTGTGCTGCCGAGGACGGCGACATGGACGACAGCAGCGACGACGCCGACTTTGAGGTGGGCACGCCAACCTTTGTCGTGGTTGGTGCTGACGCCGATGATGAAGAAGACGACGCTTTGTGTTTTCCGCCGCCCTTCTTGTCCTTACCGCCATCGTTCCCTGCCGCACCACCTGCATCCTGGCTTCCTTTACGCTTGTGCCCACGTCTCCGGATCATCGTGTCGGTCGGTCGACTGATGCGTCTGTGGATGGACTGATGTCGGAGAGGCGCGGGGGGGGGGGTTGTGTGCAGACGAGTGAGGATGAACGACAGCACTCTCCCGCTCGCACAACGCCCGCGGAACGGTGCTGGACGCGACACGACAAGCCGCAGCGAGCGAGAGGATCGCGATAATTGGTTGACATCTCCAACCAAATTTCCTCTACCTTGCTTGCTTGGCGGTGTTTTGTTTTGTTTGTTGTTGTTTTTGTGTGTGTGGGACAACAGCGACTCTCACGCACAACAACGCCCACACATCTCTCACATCTCTCACTTCACACTTCCCGACTGCTTCGTGTCCTGCTGCTTCGTGTCCTGCCCCCACACAGCACCCTTCTCGTCGCTTGCTTGTCCAGCCCTCTTGTTCCTCGCTGCCTCGCTGCTTGTCTGCGGTGTGTGCCACTCACGCACGCGCGCTTCGTCTGCGCCTCTTCTGCACGTTTACGCGTCTTCACACGCAGCCGAGGTGTGTTTGTGTTTGTGGTGGGTGTTGGTGTTGTCTGCGGGACTGGTGTGTGCGTGTGCGTGTGCTGTGGCGGTCGCAGCGTCGAATGTTGTGTGCTGCCCATCGCATCCGCGCCATCTCTTCCCTGCCATCCCTTTCCCACCCACTCTCCTCTCTCACCTACTCCCTTATCCATCCCTTCTCGTTGCAATCCCTGTTGCCCTCATCCCCGACAGCTTAAGCAAGGAATCATGGCCGGGTTGTCGTGCGAGCAGTCCTTCTTTCATGGCTCACTGGGTCGTAGCAGGGCAGAAGCCCTGATGACGTCGTCCCCCGACGACGGCACGTTCATCATCCGCACAAGCACCTCCACCCCGGGCAACTACGTGCTCTCGCTCGTCGCACAGCGCAACGTGCTTCACTTTCAAATCCGCAACCAGGGCGAGGTGCGCGGACACTTTGATGAGCAGCCAGGGGTGGAGCAGGGCGGTGGGAGGGGGGGGGACGGGAATTGGAGTGAGGATGGAAAAGAAACAGATGTGTGTGTGTGTGTGTGTGTGTGTGTGTGTGTGTGTGTGTGTGTGTGTGTGTGTGTGTGTGTGTTGGGGTGTCATGCTGAGCGTCATCAATCAACGGTCTGTCCATCAAATGCTATAGCTCACCTTTTCTTGATGCTCTGCTGGTTCGTTGGTGTGGTGAATTTCCGCAACAGTGCTGGTTCAGTATCGACGACGGCCCACTCTTTGAAGGTGAGCAGATAAACGAAGCTGGAGGAGGGAGAGAGTGTGTGTGTGTGCTTGTAGGGGGAGGGGTTGGATCGTGCGGTGCCGAGTTATTGAGACATTCACAAACACACACACACACACACACACACACGCACGCACGCACACACACACACACACACACACACACACACACACACACACACTTACACACACAGGCTTGGATGACTTGATTGAGCACTACTCGCATCTGCCGGATGGCCTGCCCTGTGTCCTTGGCAAGCACCTGCCCGTCCGCCCACCAAGGTCGTCACCCATTGCGTGCTTACAGCCACACGCACACACGCGCTCATAATGCGCAGTCGTGTGATTGCTCATGACCCCTTCGTTGCCAGCATCCAACTCACACAACAAACATACATGCACACACACACACACACACACTCACACACACACACACACTCTTACACATCTGTAGGCACGGGCTGAAGGAGAAGAACACGAAACTGCACGACGCAGCCGCGTCAGGCAACGCGGGCGCCGTCTCGTAAGTACCATGACACTGACAGGGGCGGTGGTGTGATGGGGGGGGGGGGAGGAACAGTGGCGGGTGCGCGGTTGGCAGTGGCGTTTGTGGTTGAAGTGGACGAGTGGTGTGGTCGATGTGTTGTTTTGTTGTCGTGGTCAGCTCACCCACGCTCATATGCTGGCATTTGCACGTGTGTATGTGTGCACAGGAAATATTCTGGCGGCAAGGACACAAACGCCAAGAACGCACTTGGTAATGCAGGCAGGGTGTGTGTTGCGGCGGCGGCGGTGGTGGTGGTGGTGGTGGTGGTGGTGGTGGTGGTGGTGGTGGTGGTGGTGTAGCAGTTGTTAATGGAAGAGAGCAGAGACATGTACGAATGCGCCTCAACTCGCACACACACACACACACACATACACACATACACACACACACACACACAATGGCAGGGCGCACGCCGCTGCACGAGAGCTGTCGATGCGATCACATCGAGTGCACGCGTCGGCTGCTGTCGGGCCGCGGTACCCCAGACGTCAACGCCGCAGACTCTTTTGTACGCTTTGGGGGATGTGGTGGTGATGATGATGATGATGATGATGATGATGATGGTGGTGATGGTGATGGTGATGGTGATGGTGATGGTGATGGTGATGGTGATGGTGATGGTGATGATGTGATGATGATGGTGGTGGTGGTGGATTTGCAAGTGTGACTTCGTGCGTACTCGTTCATGCACCACCACTTTCTCACTTTCTACCTGTTGTTGCGGTTGTTAACCAACCACCAACCACCACACAAACCAACCCGCCACAAACCACACAATCGACGATCCAACGTACCTACCATCTAGGGGTGGACGCCGCTGCATTTTGCTGCTGCCAACGGGAATGCGAAGATGATCCGTGAGCTCATCCAGCGCGGCGGTGACGTTAGGGCAATCACCATCGACGCGGTCGGTACCAATTATCGTTGAGTGGTGGACGTGAGTGGCATGTTGGTGATTGGTGGTTGATGATGGTGGTGCTGGTGGTCTTGTTGAGTGCGATATACTTACACCAACCTCTCACATCTGCATAACTATGTGTGTGTGTGTGTTTGCGTTGACAGGAGACGCCGCGCCAGGTTGCTGCGCGTCTCGGCAACTCGGAGGCGTGCAGGATCCTGTCGGACATTGAGGACGGTGCGAACCCAACGCAACGTTCATTGTGATCGTTGCAGGCGTGATTCTGATCGTTGCAGACTGATTTGTAACGATGATGATGATGGATGGTGATTTGGTGGGCATGCACGAGTGCACAGACTTCTTCTTCTCGATGTGCGCAACGCTCTGCTTCACTCACACTCACATGCCTTTCTATCACCCACCTCCACACAACACACCACCAACAACACACCACCAACATGACGACGGCGCCAACAGGGCACTCGATGGAGCGTGCTGCCGCGCTGCTTGAGCTGGTTTGGTACCACGGAAAGCTGACGCGCACCGCTGCCGAGAACATCATCTCCATCTACGGTCTTGAGGACGGCCTCTTCCTCGTCAGGTCTGCACTCGCGCATGTGTCTGCATGCATACGTACATGCGCACTCACGCACGTGCTGTGGATGATAGGGGTTGTATGGTGTGGCGTTGTCAATGGGTGTTTTGGACGTTGTGTGTATGATGGTCTGCGAGCTTAGTGTTAGTGCATGCCTTCGGACTGAACTACAAGCTGGTCTGATGTGCTTTAACCACACACCTTGCTGTTACCACCACCACCACCACTACCATCGTTTCAGGTTTTCGCCGTCGTCTGGAAACTTCATCTTGACCACGTGCTTCGACCAGGCCATGTTCCACTTCCAGGTACACAGACACGCTGCCGTGCTGTGCTGTGTTGTGTGGTGTGGTGTGGTGTGGTGTGGTGTGGTGTGGTGTGGTGTGGTGTTGTGTGTTGTATTGTGTTGTGTGCGTACTCGTGTGAAACATCCTGTTGCCACTACTCCTCTCCTCAGGTGCGCCACCACACACGGCAACCCACCACCACCACCTCACTGTCCTTGCCTCTCCCACCTCTGCCATGTCTGTCGCTGTGTGCAGATTCAGTTCAACTCGCGCGACAGTCTCTACTTTATTGACGACGGCCCGGGATGCCACTGTACGAAACACACACGCACACACACACACACACACACACACACACACACACACACGTACACACACGTACACATACACTTTTATGTACATCACACGCACACATGTACGCACTTCACACTGACCACACGCGCATCGCATGCACATAACACGTACACGCACACATACACACTGACATGTGAACACATGCACATGTCAGTGCATACACGTGTTTGTGATCGTCTGTTTCCCAATCTCATTCTACTCACAACCCATTACAACCATCCCCATCATCATCACCATGATCACAGCGCTTGCTGACCTGGTGCACTACTACAGCACCAAGGCGGACGGGCTGCCGTGCGTCCTCAGGAAATATTGCAAGCGATCACAGAAGGGGTGAGGCGATGGTTGTGGTTGTGGTGCGTGTGTGTCGGTGTGCGTGTGTGTCGGTGTGTGCATATGTGTGTGTGTGTGTGTGTTGAAGCACGTTAGAGTTGACTCACCCTTGCCCCTGACAACACGCACAACATTGCACTACACACACAGCCCTGGTCTGACGCAGGATTCGATGTCAGTTTATGCCACGGGGAGCCTCGACTCGGCAGGTGGGATTGAACTCAACGTGTTGGCAGTTTGAGGTGGTGATGATGGTAGTGGTGATGGCAGCTGCGTAATGGGCACCAAGAATGATGCATGAGCAGCTAAGCGTTGCTTGTATTCACGCAACTCAACTCGGTACCCCTCACTCACGGCCCACCACCGCCACCACCACCACCACCATCATCATCATCATCATCATCATCATCATCATCATCATCATCATCATCATCATCAGCGTCGTCAGCGCAGGAGCCGGTGCACTACGAGGCGCCACGCACACACGCGCGCGCATCGGGACAGCAGCAGCAGGCGCGTGTTGGTGCGCACGACGCAAAGGACTACAACCACATGCACGACCTTGACAGGGCATTGGTGAGCATGGTGATGGTGATGGGGTCATTACGATGGTGGCAGTGATGATAGTTACTGCTCTTGTTATCGTGGACACAGTCGCACATCATGACTTGACTTGTCCCGCCAGGCTTCTGTCTTCAATCGTGCTGTTAACATGTCTACTCCCCACGCAAACCTCACCACTACACCACCGTCTCATCCACCACCAATGTTGTTGTCGGTGTCTGGCATTAGTCGCAGCAAGCGCAGGTGTCCCGCGACGCCATCAACATCATCCAGTACGAACACGCGTCGTGGCTAACATGCTATTATTGCTCGCATATCGCTGTTCCCATGCTGTTGTTCTCTTGTATTTGTTGTTGGGGGAGGACGTGAACATGCTTCTGGCTCAAGTGTTCATCTGCACACAATACCTTAGTCCTTGTCCACCTTGGGCAACCTGTCCTGTGCACACGCACGCACGCGCACACGCACACGCACGCACATACACTTCCGTTTCTCACGCCACCACTATCACCATCACCACCACCATCGCCACCATTGGCTGCTGCAGGTACAGCGCGCTGCACCTTGGCAGCGAGCTTGGTGCTGGCGAGTTTGGAGCCGTGTACGGCGGGACGTGGATGTGCAAGGACGGACGGCAGGTGAAGGTCGCCGTCAAGACCATCAAGCCAGAACGCATGGGCTCAAAGGACGACGTACGTGCACACAAGCGCCATTGTGTTGTTTTGTCAATGTGTGTGTGTGTGTGTGTGAAAAAGAGAGTGTGCATGTGCGTGTGCGCGTGCGTGTATGCGTGTTCGTATGCGTGTGTGTATGTGTCCGTGTATGTATGTTCTCTGCACTGGGATTTGACCTGTTGCTCACCCTCACCACACTCGCCACGCCCCACTATCACCATCACCTCATTCACCACCACCACAACTATCACCACCACCAACCCATTCATCACCATGCAACCACCACCACCACCACCACCACCACGTGCAGTTCTTGCGCGAGGCGCAGCTGATGTCGACGCTGAAGCATCCGAACATTGTGCAGCTGCTTGGCATTGTTGAGCAGCCAAACCTCATGATTGTCCAGGAACTCGTCCCAAACGGCTCCCTCGAGAGTGAGTTGGATGCACCATGTTGGAGCAGGCAGTGCGCGTTTGTGTTGCGTGTGTGTTTGTGTGTCTGCGTGTGTGTGTGTGTGTGTGTGTGTGTGTGTGTTTACAACGGTTTCGACACATTTACACATATGCCTCAAACCTAGTGCTTCCGCCTCACATCATCTCCCACCACCACCCCCCATCCACCATCACAATCACCATCCCCCACACTGCAAGGCTATTTCCAAAAGCACAAGCGCGACAGCGTTTCGGATTTCCAGCGCGTGCTCTGGGGATCGCAGATTGCAAACGGCATGGCATACCTCGAGAAAGTCAAGTGCGTGTGCATGTGTGTGTGTGTGTGGTGAGCGTGTGTGTGGTGAGCGTGTGTGTGTGTGTGTGTGTGTGTGTGTGTGTGTTGTGTGTGTGTGTGAGTGTGTGTGAGAGTCCCCGTGAGAGAAGCCCCAGAGGGGTCTTACACGGAGCCCCGGATGTGGGTGATGATTGTCCAGGAAGACATTATCCACGACTGGGCCTACTTCGAGAGA